TTCCCTGCTCCTTATCTCCAGCCCGGCACTCAGCCTTTCCCAAACAACGGCATCCTGCCCTCGCCTTTGCCTTTGGCTTCCCTGCAGCTCCTGCTACCCCGTGGCTTCGTGGTGCCAGCTGTGCAGGGAGCACTGGGAGCACTGGGAGCACTGGGAGCACTGGGAGCACTCCCACCCTCACCTGCACCCCAGCCCACACCGACCCAAACACTAAATCCTGCTGTTTCCCAACGGAGTTGGCCCGGACAGCACGGAAAGGGCTCCAGGGGCAGAGGCTCCTTGGACAGCCTGAGGCAATGGCTGAGCCACCCCCAGGAGCTGCCAGGCTGGGGAGGCACTTCCACACTGGCCATGCCCTTCCAGCGGTGATGCTGCTCACGGATCGAGCTGTGGATCAGAGATCCCGAGGATTCTGGCACAGCCATGAACACAGACAGCCCGTGACGGAGCACGGGCGGCTACTCCGGCCCCTTCCAGAGCCGCTGAGGGATTATCACATCCACTGCATCATCCAGGGGACCACCCAGGGCCTCTCCCACGCCCGCTGGATTTGGGAGCCGGGTCCTGGCCACGGAACAGCCGATGGGGCCGGGAACAGGAGCAGCGCAGCCCCAAAGGGCTATTTTGGGAGCGCGTCCCCAGGGCCCCGCTCCCCGCCCGGCAGCCACAGCTGGATTTAGCAGGACAGGGCAGCGGGAAAGGTGCCATTTATAGCCCGAGGCCCAAAATGGAAAGGCCAGAGCCAAGCTGGGCAGACACAGAGACAAGGACGGGGTTAACCAGACCCGCCGTGTGCTCCCACAGCACAGCCCTGCTCCTCACACCCCGGGCAAGGGCTCCTGCTCCCGGGGCCAAGGGCCAGGCTCAAGCTCCAGACAGGAAAATCCCTTTAGATCCACGGGTCAGGATTATGGCTCTGATGGCTCCAACCTGTGCCCTCCCCATCGGCTCACTCCCGTCCTGCCACGAGCACACGCAGCTCCGCTGGCACATCCACAGGGGAAACAGATCCAAGATCCCAGAGTCATGGAATGGGTTGGGACAGGAGGGACCTTAAAGCCCATCCAGTGCCACCCCTGCCATGGGCAGGGACACCTTCCACCA